AACAATCAATAGGTAACTAACGTGACTTTTAGAGTAATTTCAATAATAGTTCTTCTAAAACAAAATACTACAAAAATAATACTTTTAATAAAATTCATTTATGGCATTATTTACATAGCAGTTCATTTCCCCCGTTTTATTGACTGATACAATTTCTACATGGAATGTATGTGAAGCTCCAGGGAAGGTGAGGGCCAGTAGCCTAATGTACTGTAGGATACATATGCCTAAGATACTCTTTCTTTTTTCAAAAGATTCATTAATTCATTTAATTTTAGTTTTCAACATTCACTACCACAAGATTTTAAGTTCCAAATTTTCTGCCCATCTCACCCCTCCCCAAACCCCAAGACAGCATGCATTCTGTATACCCTTTCCCCTAATTTGCCCTCCTTACTTTCTCCCTCCCCTTTTCTTACCCTTTTTCTCTTCTATTTTCCTGTAGAGCAGGATAGATTTCTGTACCCCATTGCCTGTATATCTTATTTCCTAGTTACATGTGACAACAATTTTTTTAACATTTGTTTTTAAAACTTTGGGTTCCAAATTTTCTCCCTCCCTCCCTCCCCACCCACCCTCATTGAGAAGGCAAGCAACTTGATACAGGTTATCCTTGTGTAGTCATTCTGTGGAAAACTATTTCCTTTCATCCTATCCTCCCTCCCCCATTTATTCCATTCTGTCTTTTGACCCTGTCCCTCCTCAGAAGTGTTTGCTTCTGATTACCCCTTTCCCCAATCTGTCCTCCCCTCTATCATCCCCCAGCTATCTTATCCCATTCCCCCCTATTTTCCTTTAGGGTAAGATAGCTTTCCATATCCAACTGAGTGTGTATTTTGTTCCCTCCTTAAGCCAAACCCAAGGAGAATAAGATTCATTCATTCATTCACTCTCACCTTCCCCCACTTCCCCTCCACTATAAAAGCCTTTTCTTGTCCATTTTATTTGAGATGATTTACCCCATTCTACCTCTCCCTTTCTCCTTCTCCCAGTATAATCCTCTCACCCCTTGATTTTATTCTTCAGATATCACCCCTGCATCTTCAACTCACCCGGTGCCCTCTATCTATCTATCTACATATACATTTTTTTTCCATCCAACTACCCTAATACTGACAAAGGTCTCATGAGTTACAAATATCTTTCCATGTAGGAATGTAAACAGCTCAACCTTAATAATTCTCTTATGATTTATCTTTCTTGTTTACCTCTTCATGCTGGTCTTGGACCTGATTCCCAGTATGCTTTTTGCACACATTTTCAAAACAAAGCAACATCATCCACTCCCTAACAGCAGTTGTCCTATTTTACTGAGAAAAGACATTGTTTTTCATGATCTTCCCTAGCATCTTCCCTTCTACTACATTAGTCGTTCTTTATTCGTTTCAGTTGTGTCCAATGCTTGGTGACCTCATTTGAGGTTTTCTTGGCATAGATACTAGAAGAGTTTGTCATTTCCTCTTCCAAGTTCATGACTAGCCTAGGGTCACTTCGCTAATGCCTTGAGGTCAAACTTGAACTCAGGTCTTCCTGACTCCAGGTCCCCTCTATCCACTGCACCACTTAGCAGTCTCTCCGCTATATGTCTGTTTCTCTAAATAGAATGTAGGTTTGACACTGGGAGTGTTTCACTTTTGACCTTTCATCTCCAGTGTCTAAGAGTCTGTGGTTGGTAATTAATAAAGCCTTGTTGATTAACTGATTACTCAAGAATCAGTGTTTTGGTTGTTATTCAGAATGATGATTTCACTGGTGTAGGAAACTGTAGGAGAGAAAAATAGCTCAAGAAATGCAAAATAAGACTGGATTAAAAAACAGAAGACCTGGATTCTAGTTCTAGCTCTGCTTCTAACTATTTGTGTTTTCTTGGGTGAGTGATTTTTTTAAAGAATCTTTTCTAAGCTTCACTTCTTCATCTGTAAAACAAAAGGCATGTAGGTAGCTACGTGGCATAGTTGATAGAGTAGATAGAAGACTGAATATGGATCCAGCCAGGAAGACCCGAGTTCAAATCTTGACCCAGATAATAGTTGTATGACCTCGCACAAATCACTTAACCTTTTTTAGCCACAATTTCCTCATCTGGAAATTGAGGGTAAGAGCATGTACCTCATGATGTTATGAGGACCAAAGGAGACAATACATAAAAACACTTTACCAACCTTAAAATGCCATATAAATATTAGCTTTCATTATTATTATTATTTTATAATTAGGGGGTTAGACCAGATGATCTCTAAGGTCCTTTCCAACTCTGACAATCTATGAAAATATATATTCATTTCCCACTCAAGTTTCTTACCTGAACTATAGGGTATATTAGTTCACCTATTTTCATACTTATATAGTATCCTTATATATAACTTCTGCACAGTTATCAATATTTTAAAGCCTTTTCATGCCTACTAGCACCCCTTCCATTGCCCTTTAAGCAAACCACAACTCAGAGAATTCTATGACCAGAGAAGGAGGTAGGTTATTCATAGTGAGAGTGATAGACAGTCTAGAAAGGCTCTCCTAGAATGATGAAATGTCAAAAAATCTAGGGCCCCCAGCATGTTGGAGTCCCTGTGGGGGACTAAAGGGGGGACAAAAAAAAGAGGTACACAGAATGAAAAAATGTGAATGGTTTGTGATCTCTATGTGGTATGCAATTATGCGTCTGGAGAAGTCCTGGAATTTATTGACATGGTCATACCTTTACTTCAGGACAATCACTTTGGCAGTTGGAGGAGAGTTTGAGACAGGGAGCACAATTTGAAGACCAGATTAAGAGAAAGATAAGTTCCTGAACCAGGGTAGTAGCTGTGTGTCTGGAACAAAATGAAATATTATAAAGGGAAAAAAATGAGAAGATTTGGCAGTGCATTTGGATATGTGGAGGGAGAGAGACCAAGGATGGCACTGTGGTTACAAGTCTGGATGATGCTGCAACAATAAGGGGAGAGGTTGGGGAAAATGTAATGTGTTGTGTTTTGGACATGCTGAGCTTCACATGCTTAGAGAACATAATTTAAGATGTCCAAAGGGCAGCTGGTCATATCAGACTAGAGCCCAGAAGAGAAAGACTATGGCAAGATATAGAGATCTGGGAATCATGGCATCTAGATGATATCAGAAAGTGAGATGGGAAGGGAGAACAGGAAAAAAAAAAAAGATAATTCAGGGAAAAGAGAACCAAAAGCAGGACAAAACCACAGGGAATACCCAGTTAAGGAATGTAACACAGATGAAGATCCGTCGAAGGACTGGTAGATAGGAGGAAAACCAAGAGACAACAAGGCCACAAATCCCAGAAAGGAGAGTATCTAGGGGAAGAGAGTAATCAGCAGTGCCAAATGTGGTAGAGGTCAAGAAGAGTAAGATTGAACAAAGGCCACTAGATTTGGCAAATAAAAGATAACTGGCAACTTTGGAGATGGTGATTTCAGTTGGATGAGGTTGGAAATCAGATTGCAGAAGGTTAAGAACAGAGTGAGAGGAATGCAGAAAGCAAATATTCTAGAATTTATATAGTCTATGAGAGAAGTATAACAGCTGACATTAATAGAGGACTTGAAGGTTTGGAAAGCCTTTTATATACATCATATATATATGTATATACACACATATCTTTTACACATGAGAGAACTGAGGTTTGGCGAGCAACTTGTCTATGGTCCAACAGATAATAGGAGTCAGAGGGAAGGGTTTGATTCTGGGTCTTTCTGATACCAAGACCAATACTTTATCCATAATGCTAAGCTGATGATGTAACAAATGTAAAAATATCATGCCATCTCATGGTGATACAGGTATTCTACAAATAAAAGTTTCTGGGATGATACAATAGTATAGAACGGAATACTTACCACAATCACTCTGCTATCAGATGTAATTACAGCAACTGTACCTGATAAAACAGGATTAAGAAAATAGTTCTTTAGGAAAGTATATAGGTTGTAACTTTAAGCCCGTATAAAGAATCCTAAGTTTATTAGAAAATCTGAGTACTACAGTAACAGTTGGTGAACACAGATATTCAAAATTCCCAATATAAAAAGTGGATAGGAAGGTCTGGAAACTCTAAAAGAAACCCTGTTACAAAAATAAGACAAAACAAAAAACAGTGCTTATATCAATTCCAATTATATCTTTGTCTTTTCTTTGAAAACAAAAAATTCACTCTTTCAGCTATGTGATTTGAATATTCTGTGCTAAAACAGCTATAATGTTTTATCACTTTTTGCAACTTTTGGCACTATGCATCCTTAACACAACTTTCCTCCTCTAAGGGGTCCAATTAAAGCCCACAGATTTTCCCAGCAAATGGGGACCCCCAAATACAACAGTAATTTACTTTCTCTACCCCACACCGTTCAGACAATAAGAATGAATGATTGAAACCTTGAATGCTTTATTTTCTGGGCCCCAAAATTAAGAGTATTTTAGAGGCCTTTTCTTGTTTTTAGTTTAGACACGAACCTTCCCGCTTCTTCAACAGCAAGCATCTGAGACCTCACCTCCGGCTCTCCAGGAGAGGACAAGACAGCTTGCTGCTGCAGATGCCATAGAGAGAGGCTGGCAGAGGAGAGGCATGGCAGCTGGACCAGGGAAAACATTTTTGAGGCGGGGGTAAGAAGTAAAGAACCACAATTACAAAAAAAAAAAAAGGACATGGAACAGGCAGCTTTATTCCCAGACAGAAAAGAAAATGCTAAATAATAAGGAATCAGAATGATTAGACTAGAATCCAGTAATATATCACTATTAGACACTTTAGTAACCTAATATTCAGTTTTTGCAGTGTGGCTAATCAGCTCAATACATTTCACCTTCACAAGACACAAGATAATTTAACACTGGGTTAAATTTTCTTTCTGGTTTTCAGTCTCTCTGTCTCTGTCTCTCTTTCTGTGCCTGTCTGTTCCTCTCTCAGTTTCTTTCTCCTTTCTTCCCCACGATTCCCTTGGCACCAGCTCATTCCTCTTTCTATGATTATAATCACTCTGGCATAATCTCTTGCTTCTGTTACCTCTAGGAGTTTATTATATTCTCAAGGTCAGTGCTACAGGAAAGAAATACACAAAAGAGTCAAAGAAAATCTAGAAGCAATAACAGAAAGGTAACTATTTTGGTCCATGCTAGACTCTCTATATGGGAAGCCTCCCACCAATTTTCTAAGAGTCCTCTGTGGAGAATCCCTGCAATAAGGATAATGAGAAGAATAAGAATAATAACAGCTAACACTTATATAGTGCTTACTACATGCCAGGCCCTACACTAAGCACTTTACAAATATCTCATTTGATCATGAAAATAACCCTGGGAGGCAGGTGCTACTATTGTCCTTATTTTACAGATGAGAAAACCGAGGCAAATAAAAGTTAAATGACTTGTCCAGCATCACACAGCTGATAACTATCTGAAGCTGGACTTAAAGTCTTCCTGATTCCTAGTCCTGCAGTCAACCCACTGTGCCCCCTAGTTACCCAACAAATGCAAAGGGTCCCAAAATTGTGCCAAAATCCCCATATTGAGTACAGTGGCTAGCTAGATCACCCTTGGCTGAAGACACAAAGAATCTCAACAAGCACAAATGTTTGTGCCTTACCTGCCAACACCCTTTTCCCAGGGTTCAATTCTGGGAGAAGCCTGACTTTCAAATAGTTGAAGGAAGCTATGGAATTGGAAGCTATTAGAACAGCTCCTCACTCTCCCTCCACCTCCTGCTTCACAGGAAAAATTGCCATTTACAGTAATGTTGCTTTTGTCTATTATCTAGGGTTTTCCACAGGAAGCGAGAAAGTAAAAATGCTTTCCCATGCATCAGATAATGGGAAAGATTGGGAATTACAGTGTTTCATTAAAAGAGTAACATTAATAGGATTTGGAAATTCACCTCATAGCCAACTTGCAGCTTGTAGTTTTCTGTCAGATGGCTGAGAGCAAGTCTTGACACATAAATCAGTTTGACAGTTCTTCTCATTAGCTATTTCACATTTTTTTTTTGCATTTTTCATGAACAGGTTCAAACACTGTGTGTGTGTGTGTGTGTGTGTGTGTGTGTGTCTGTACATACATGCACAGGTATACACACAGAACTCCAAAGCAGATCTTTTCCAGTGCCTCCTCTTTCTCAAATGCCAATTCTTTTGTTCCAGATCACTCTTGGTGCTGCTGCTGCCACTACAACCTACCACTTCAGTAGACACTACAGCCACAGCCTCCCAGGACCTCATGACCTTTTGAAACTTACAAGGTCACCTGGGCTCATCCATCTTGAGGTTGCTGCTCAGTCACCTAGTGACTCTGGAAGATACCCAGCTTCCATCATTCCCTTACTGCACTCTACCATGAAGCTTTGAAGAGTCCTCATGATTGGAAGCCATAAAGGAAAAGCAACATTTTTGTTGGGGGGGAAGGGCAGGCATGTGAGCCTCCCCATGGGTCCTTTAGCCAGAACTGTGGGTATACAGATAAGTCTTGATTAGAATAAATAATGATTTCCCTGAATTTGTCTCATGTATTCACACTATTTGAAGTTATAATTATGTAAAATGTGGCAGTTGTTTCCAGCCCAATTCAGACATGTAATTTCAATCTGGACAATGAGACTAATTAATAAGATTCATTACTTGCATTAATTGGAACCTAGCTAAGTTCTGGCTTGAGAATCAATGGGAAGACTTCACATATGTAGAGTCAATCCTACATAGACAGAATCTACATAGTCTCAAAAACAGATGGGGAAAAGAGCACATATTACACATAAGTGTTCTATAAAAAGGAAAACCAATGAGACACTTTACAATACATGGATTTATTGGATTTGACATCCAAGGAACGGGGTTCATATCTAGCCCCTGTCATTTATTAGCTGTGTCCCAACCCATGAAAGGGAGATAACCATATTTCAGCTGTCTATTTCACGGGAATGTTGTAAAAATGGAGATAAAAAAGTAAAGTTCTGGATGAATCACAAGATAACTAGGTACATGGGAGCTATTAGTATCAACAATAATGATAATTGCAATAGGAATCATTTGTCCATTTTCATCTAGTTTTCATCTGGTCTTCATTAAAACCTTATGAAAATATTTTTCAGCTTCCACAAATTTCATACTAGCTTTCAGCCAAACACTTGTCATGAAGTCATGAGGTTTAATTAGTGATTTGCCTCTATATTTGAAATCTTAACAAACTTAATTTACTAATTTATCCTTCCGTATTGATATCAGCTAGTGTTTTTTGTAACACATATATTGGCCCTCTCCCCAATAAGAATTATATATGTATATATACATATATATACATATATATGTGTATATATATATATAGTGTATATATATACACATATATATAAACAAATAATTATACCATGCTCTACTAATTTTCTGTCCACAAATTATACACAGTATAACACGTATCCACATGACCCGGGAAGATCCACACAACTGCCTCTACTGGGGATGTAAAGAAGGGGCAGCAGCTGTTGCTGCACAGGAAGTCTGGCCTGAAATAGCTGGATAAAAGGAACCTGCAGAGAGGGTGGGAGGAGAGAAAGAAAGGGCCCCCTGGAGGAGCCTAAGGCACGCCCCCCACCCCGCCTTCGCCTGGAGGTGGGTCCTGGTGGCTCCACTAACCCTTGGAAAACTATTCCCTTCAGTACCTGCTTCAGGGCAGCGCCTCCAATCAGGGTCAGTGTCAAGCTTTGCCTCCTGGAGATTGGATAGCAAGTCCAGAAATATGTTCATTAGGTCGTCCAGGGGCAGGGTTAGGGAGTGGTCAGTTCTTAAAGGAACATGCAATTTTTGTACTTAGTGCATAGGCGTTTTACCCAGAATTCACAGCGAGAAGGGGAGGGCCTACTGAAGGGTGTGCTTTTAGATCTGCGGCTGTCACTAACTAAGGGTCAGGACCATCCTGTCTGTTAACAGTCAGTGTCCTGTAACGCCAAATAGCCACAGGAGAGGACATACATCTTGATGTCTGGAATGTGTACGGTAACCGAGGAGTCGGTAGAGATAGTCCTGTTCATACGAGGGAAATTCTACAGAAGTCAGTGTCTTCTTCTAACAGGGAAAGAGAGTTTGTTCACCGGGGCACATTCATGGTTTTAGGGCCGGGGTCCGAGGACTCACTTTATCCACACCATTCCGCCTGACTTCCCGAGCAGCAGCAGCGGCTGCCCCTTCGCCACATCCCCGATGGAGGCAGCTTTGTGGATCTTCGCCAGGTCCTTGACCCGGAGGAGGGATCCTGCTCTGGGGCCCAAAGCTCGGACCCCGCTCTCCCTCCTCGGGGGGAAGGAGGCTCGAGAGGGAGGCAGCTCTCTCTTGCTGCCCACGGTGAAAACCATTTTCATTATGCCAGCGGGCTTCAGAGAGGGTCTGCAGGACTCGCGAGGAGTTCTCCCTTGGCCTCTCAGCTTCTCCGGGCCCTCGCCTACGCTCTAGAAAACTTCCACGGCCGGAAGCTGGAGGTTGAGAGACTCCAGAGCACACAAGTATAAAAGATTCAACCCTAGAGAGGCTTGTAGCCCTGGAAAGCCGCGAGGGGGCCTGAACTGAGCATGCGTCTGTCAGATCCGCGGGTCCCGCGCATGGGCCCAAAGGTAAAGTCAGGAGTGAGTGCGCATGTGCAGGGCGGGTTAACTCTGCGGGAGGGGTTCCCAGCTCGAGATCGCGGGGGTGGCCGAGCTCCAGGCTGGCTGCTTCGTGTGCTAGAGGTTCTTCCAAGTGTCCCCCTGAAACGGGAAACATGGGGGGGGGAGGAAGGTAGAGTGGGGTAGGTGGGGACGAGGTGTGGCCAGATGGGAAGCTTGCTGCATCTGGATTCAAAGGACTCAGGTTCGAATCTCGAATCCGGGAAACCTGCTCTGTTGTTTCCCTTTGTGAAAATGGGCAAAGCCCTTCCTCTCTGAGCCTCAGTTTCTTCTTCTGTAAAACGAAGACTTTGTACTAGATGATCTCCCAAATCTCTTCCAGCCCTTAGTGATTCCGTGAACCCCAGACTGATAACCAGTACCATGCACATGCAGTCTCCATTCCTCTTTCTTCTGATTCTCCCTTCCCTTTTTTGTATGGCACAGGGAGCCTGGGACATGGAGGGTGGCCCTGGCCTTAGCCAGGAAGCCCTGGGTTCAAGGCCAGCCTCTGCACAATTTCAGTTGCCTTGTTGATGCTGTTATGAACCATGGGAAGGAGGGGGTTACAGCAGTTCACTGGGAAAAGATATATCAGTTTTCATTGATCATAAGTTGCTAAAAGAGTTAAACATACCCTAAGGCTGTAGTAATAGAAAAATAGAGTTTAAATCACAGAAGATAATAGTCCCATTCAGCTCTGGGCTGAAGGGACCCTGTGTTTACTTGTTTGTGTTTACTTATGTTTTGTATTTACTTATAGATGCTATGTATTAGGAGGGACATTAATCAGTTCAGACACTAGAGATATGGATGAACTAAGAATGATAGAGGAGACAAAGGGAAGGCATGATGTCTGTTTTCAACTATGTGAAGGGCCATTGTGAAGATGGGTATCTGTAGAAGAAACTGCTAAGATCAGTGATGAGAGGAGCCTGGTTTTGACTTGTATAAGGAAAAACAAATTTTATAGAAATGGAATGGACTTCTTGTGAGACAATTCCCTTCAAGTAGACTCTTACTGCGGTGCAAAAACAATTCTTACATTGATTGCAAGGCTGGACTCCATGATTGTTAAGGTCCGTTCCAACAACAGATATTTTGATTCTCTGTATTAGTTTATATCAAACTGTTGCTGGCTTCCATTAGAATAGATCTTCCAAGTTGGCTTTGTTTTTAAGGTATATCTAATGTAGAGCAGAAGCTCGAAGTATTGTGTTTATTGAATTTAGTTCAACCCTCAAAGGATAAGGAAATTTCTGCAGAGGGGAAGAGGACAAGTTATTTTGTAACTGGCCTTGGCTCCTACTTCCCCCCCCCCTTCTATCCTTTGCTTTTTCTCCATTCATGATGTGATGTGTATTCTCTGCATTACTAGCGTTCATACTGTTTATTCGGCTCCAGAATCAGTGGACTTGAGAATACAGAAACGATGCATATTCACCCTGATGAACATGTGCTGCCGCTTTTCCTTCTGTCAAAATAAATAAAATATAAGCTCATCCTGTGGGTCCTTTGGTCTCAGTGGTGGGCTGTTTATGGCCCAGTGTGTAAATCCATATGTTGTTGGTTGTACTTGTGCCATGACCTGTCAAGATTTCTTCAAGCGATAGACTCTCTCCATTTTGTCTGCCATACCTGATGTCCTGCAGAACTTCAATGCTGTCTCTAAATGGCATGTGATGTTCAATAACATTTTCTGCCATCTAGCACCATGATTTAGTACTCTGGCTACACTTGGGCCATTGCTTGGCTAGTTAGAAATCCCATGTAACAGACTCCATCATTATATGTGTTTTACCACAGTATGATTTGTGGACTGAAAATTAGTAGTGCATTGTATAATTATTTGCTAACATATATAATTCTTATATACCCTGAGATTTGTCTTCTCTTTTAGTTTCAGGGCAGGACTCAATTTCCCAGAAGTCCCCACTCCTATGCCTGCTGGATCCTTCTCACTCACACTCTAATCCCTCCTTCAAGAGGAGCAGGACTTTCCTGAGATTTGTCCCTAGGTTATCTTTTACAGAACTGGACAAATCTGTGTTTCCAAGACCTTAAAAAGGAATGCCTTGTGCCTGCCTCAGTATGACCTAGAGGACCAAGAAAAAAATTGTCTGATGTATGCAGGGTATTTCTGACAAGCTTCTCTGAGCTTTCGAACTTTCCTCATCATTATCTGTATCACTCTGTTTGGTATTTTTGTCTGTTCTGTTTGTGTCTCTGTGTGGTGTGAGTGTCTATGTGTGTAATCTGATACCTTGTAGGATTTAAAATGCAGCCAGCCAGCAAGAAATACTGCTAAGGGCTGTAGCCAGACTGAAAACATAGATAAACTTTCTTGAAAAGAAAAAGTTTTTGGTAAACTAACTCTTTCTCTCTCTCTCTCTCTCTCTCTCTCTCTCTCTCTCTCTCTCTCTCTCTCTCTCTCTCTCTCTCTCTCTCTCTCTCTCTCTCTCTCTCTCTCTCTCTCTCTCTCTCTCTCTCTCTCTCTCTGTCTCTCACAAACACACACATTGCTGAACTCTGGCCAGGTTCTGAATGTGGAGGGACAGACAAGAAACAAAAAAAGTAAGGGGTAACCTTTTCCCATCAGATCAAAGAGAGGTAGATTGACTAGCACTTGACCATTTCCTGCCTCATATTAAAAAAAAAAAGTTTTTGTGCAATGTGATTCTGACTAGGCAGTCTCCTACAAAAAGGGAACAAATTTTGCTTACAAGGTCTTAAAAAGAGATGCGTTACAACTGAAGCCTTGAGCTCTGCAGTGTGAGGGAGATGGGATTAGGCACCAACAGGATCTTTTTCCAGGGCCCCAACTCACCTGTCAGGCAGGTTCAAGGCCCAGCTCTAACTTTTTAAGGGGTTGACATACAAATGAAGTTTATTCGAGTAGAAGTTCAAAAGAAATTCTTACGATTCTTCGCCCTGTGGTCTCAGCTCTGACTAGGCTGAGGCTACAGTGAAAAATTAGAACAGCTAAAAGCATCTTATCAGATTTTTCAGGTTTTGAGATTGATCATTAAGGAACTTAGAAATTGACCATTTTAAGATTGAAAGAGAAAACTCCTGAGACATTAGGATAATTCCAGAGTTCATCCCCTTTTGAAACACCTTCTCACAATCCTAAACACAAAGCATTCCCCACTCCCTTCCCCTGAATCAAGAGGGTATTATATTATGGGGATTGCAAACAGCCCCATGTTTTCTTGTTAACCCCTCATCCCAGATCAGACTAAGCGAAAATAGTAGGGAATATGAGTCACCTTCCCTCATCTGCCAAAAGAAAGGAGGTAGGAGGGCAGCAGCTACAGTAGGGGTCCTGATGGGGTGATGGGACTTGTACCTCAAAGTAAAAGACCAGGTCTCTGGAAGCAATCTAGTGTCTTATTGGGCCTCTGTGGGAAATTCTTACCTTGTTGAAGGCACACACAGACCTGATAAAAGCTATCAGTCCAGGCTCTAGGGTGCTGGCCAAAGGACTCTGTCTCTGGTGCTTGTCCAAGGACCATGCCTCTGGCAAGCCTTTGTGTGAACAGAACTATCTTGTCTCTCTTCTCCCCCATATCTGGTATCAACAGAGTAATCTCTGCTGAGTCCCTGAATTTTCCTATACATTCTAGGAGTCCAGACCACCCGTGCCTGCACCCAAGGCACCTGGACAACTGTTTAATCCCACCTCAGATACCCTAATTAACATACTTGGCATTTCTTTCACTGACCATTTCTGCATATAAGCTTTAGCATGATCCTCATCAACTTGCAAGTTTGAGTATGTGAATTCATTCCAGGCAACACAGCCCTGTGCCCTGACATTTTGGGATTCCATCACCCCTAAACCAAGTCAGCCCCACTGGCAATGGCCCTGGGCCCCTGGGGACTCTGCAGCCCACCCCCTAGAATATCCTGCCCACCCTCCCCAGCAGCTGCAGGAAGAGAGACAGGAGAAAAGAAAGGGATAGGTCAAGGCAGTATGAAGGGAGAAGCCAGCCACTCTCTGCTTTTGTTAAACCCAACCTTTTATCAGTAATTTTTATATGTGATGATTTGGAAATGCATTCAAGAAGAGAGGTCACCTGATTAGTAATGGGTTTGTTTCAAGTTTCAAGTACATAATATTGTTTTATTGGTCAATGTTTGCATCAATTATGTCAAGCAACTTTTCATAACTTGGATGTTATTAGAGTATGAAATGAAAGGAACTAAAAGATAGTGGGAAATTATTCAAAACCATGTATGTTATTTTATCAACCCTGGGAAGTGCTTGTTTGGTATATGGAGCTCCCAATGAACTAGGCTTGCTGAAAATTTGCAAGTTTATTTAAATGATCTCTAACGATTGGCTTTTACATCCAGAACAAATTTAAATTTAAGATTTGAGTTCTGATAAATTTTTATTGCTTATTGCAACTCCATTAGAGTAAAAATAATTGTATCTAGCCCCAAGCTATGATTAATGAAACTTACTATTTGAGGTAAAAGCTCTTGGGAATGTAACTAATTTTTTTTTTTTAAGTTTGAATTTGAGTATAGTTGTCTGCACTCAATCAGGATCTGAGAGAAATGCCACGTGTTACTCGGAGGGAAAGTGATCCTGAGCTGTTACAAGTGGAGATTTGCATCTGGGAAAAGTGGAGAGGACAACCTTAGCCTCAATCTAAGGTGGGATCCTCCTGGCTCAGTTTCCCCATGGTGTTCCTTTGAAAAGGAATGTTTTCTACCTGACTATTCCTGAGTCTGGCATAGAGGTGGAATTGACACTGCATGGTTGGAAAAATGTGACTCTTCTCTGAATTCAAATAGAGCTAAGGATGTTTAAACCTGTCATATTTAGTATAATCATACTCCTATTTTTTTTTCTATTATAGCAGATTTGTATAATCAGAGGAAGTGGTTAGTAAAAAATGTGAGTACAGTGCAAGTATGTGAGGTCTTCTTGTTTTGATCTGAATGTGTGGTCATTCCATAAGTGGGTAAATTAGTGCTCGGGCTTGTCATCTCTCTGTCTGCATATCACGTGAAAGATTAAATTCCTTGAATAGAACATTCTTTCTGAATGATATGGGAACAATTAGACAAAGGGAAAAGAAGTTTGTGAAACAAAGGTACAAACACAATGCTGAATCGTTATCCCATAGGCCAAAGCTGGGATAATAAAACTTGTGTTTAAGATCTGAGCAATTCAGCCTAAAATTACATTCCTTTCCATATCCTAAACGACTTAGTAAATGAGCAATTGGTCTAGTCATCCGCCTGTTATTGTATATGTCTCTATGATATAAGGTGCTTAAATGTTTCAAAATGATGTAAGAATAATTTGGTATTGGTACAGCTGATTGAAGGATCTAGCTGTTATTCTATTAATTATTGAAATTAAATCAGAAGCATCTTTGATTTGGGAAAGAGAATTTCAGTGTAATCAATTTTCTTGGAGGGTGGTAACTTAAAGCTCAAGTATCCTTCCAAGTCTTTTATCATAATTGGAGTAGAGTCAGCCTCTTATAAGCAAATTCGTTTGTATAACTATTGAACCCAAGAGTGGAAAATTTCTACCTGCCAGAATATTGATAGTGGGGCAGCTAGGTGGCACAGTGGATAGAGCACCAGCCCTGGAATCAGGAGGACCTGAGGCCTCAGACATATAACACTCACTAGCTGTGTGACTCTAGACAAGTCATTTAACGCCAATTGTCTCGTGTGTGTGTGTGTCTGTGTGTGTGTGTGCTTGTATGTATGTATATGTGTGTGTATGTATATGTGTGTGTGTGTGTGTGTGTGTATATGATAAAAAGAATATTGTTACTTATATTTTTACCTATAGCATTGAATCCTCAATAGCATCTGATCCTCCTAAAGGAACTGGAAACAGAATGGTAACTTTTGAGAAAGTAACAAGATCAGATAATCCTGTATGTCAAATGTAAATGATTCTAATGAGATTCCTGGTTTCTTTATTTGTTTTCTCTCATTCTGACACTACTCCTAATTATTTTGTTGCTCCTTATATTTGGGCTCTGTGTATTGAACTTGCTTGTCAGATTTTTGTCTTCCAGTCTGCAGGCCATTTACCTACAGACCAGTAGATACCAGCCCATGTCCACCCCACCCCATCCCTTGGACATGGCTTATGCTCACTTCCAGTCAAACTCCTCCCCAGGACTCCAAGAGGCAGGGATAGCTCTACACCCCTTGCCAGCAGGAAGCATTTCCAGAAGCCAAGACCTTTGCCCTTTGCTCCAAAAGATTTTGGGTCCCATTTGTTTGAGGGGGGAATGATGGAGTGATGGGAACTGGACCCCATAGGAAAAGACTATGTCTCTGGAAGCAACCCAGTGTCTCATTGGGCCCCTTTGAGAATTTCTTTCTTTGTTGCAAACACATACATATCTGACCATATAATTATTCAGGTAAAACCTATCAGTGGAGGCACAGAGGTGCTTACTCAAGAATCTTGTCTCTAGCACCTGGTCTCCAAGGACCACGCCTCTGGCAAGCTTTTGTATAAACAGTACTACCCTCTCCCTTCTCCCCCAATGTGTGGTATCAACAGGGTTGTCTCTGTTGACTCCCTGAATGTTCCCATTCATTTCCAGGAGTGCGCCTATGCCCAAGGCACCTGGGCTTCTTGCTTATTCCTTTGAATATTGAGGAATCCTTAATCTCACCCAATACCATTTAATTAGCATACTTGGCACACTAGTCACTGTTCTTTTTCTATCTAAGCTTTAGCGTTACTCTTGTTAAGTTTCAGGTTCCCTAAGAACTATGCTGGCTCTATTAGTGTTACAATAAAACTTTTCTGTTCCACTGGAAGATGGTTTGAGTATGCAAATTCATTCCAGGCCACACAGCTGTGTACCCTCACATTATGGGGTTAGCACCATTTTCAATTAATACCCTAGCTTCCTTTTTTGCCTTCTCTGTTTTGATTGATTCTTCCTATAATTAATGAGACTGAAATGTATAATGTCCTCCAAAAATTATGTTTAACCTATTGCTAGCATAAATAACACAAACCTATCTAACATACTAGGGTCGCCAGATGTAAGATGATCAGCTGTCAATGACTTGGCTCTTCTCATCAATACAAGGATCCATAACAACTCTGAAGGACTTAGGATGACAAATACTATCCGTCCCCAGAGAAAAGAACTGATGATGTCTGAATACAGATTGAAGCAACTTTTTTTTCACTATCTTCATTTTTCTTGAATCTTTTTGTCTGTTTTCTTTCACAACATGAGTGTTATGGATGTATTTTGTATGACTACAGATATATAACCTATATGGAATTGCTTGCCTTCTCAATGAGGGGGTGAGGATGGGGAAGAAGAAAGGGAGCGACATTGGAATTTCTTGGAGACCAGGGCACTCAGGCCAGGCTTGTACAGCTAGAGGAGGTACAGGCCCAGCTTTGGGGCCTGGAGCAAAGAATCCTGCGCCATGTGGCAGAGGAGCAGGACAAGTATGCCAGCAAAGTTGCTGCTGACTTGAGGCTGACCCTTCTGAAGGAAGGAGAGACAACCAGGATGAAAGAAGAGGTGAGCCTGTCCTCCTGCCTGGGGTCATGGGTATGCCCTGAGAGGAGCCTGCCAGGAGGGAGGGGGAAGCCCAGGCCAAGCAGGTAGCACGCTTGCCCGTCGCCTACGTGGGCTGGGCCAGGCTTGCAGGTGGCCCTGCCAAGAGTGGTGCATGTCTGTATTCTAGAAAGTGCATGAGATCATGCAGCAGGCCCCGAAACTCTACAGGGAAGATCATATTGGGCTGGTGGACCACACCCTGGAGTCCTCAGGTAGGCAGCTTATAGAAATCCAGAGGGCTTGGGACAAGAGGGAATGGAAAATCAGGATAACTGTTGTGAGACAGGAGGAATTGACAAATCAGGATGCCCTTTATAGGCCAGGGCAGTTCAGAGAGCTGATGCCCTGGCTGCGCCCCCTCACCTTGAGGACTGCCCTAAGCCATCTCCGTGTCCTGCCAGCCCTTGGGTGCTCCCCCACCTTCTCTCCCTGTTGCTCTTTCAGGGGTCAGCATCCTCAGTAGCCGCAGCTCAAAGACCTGTGGCACCAGGATGGCCATTATCAGTCTGTTTGGCATCACCTTGTGGTACCGTTTCCAGACCCAAAGAGCCATCCTCCAGGTAGGGCTGAACAAAGGTCCCCCAGCTTGGCTCTCTGCCTGCCATCTCCCCCCTCCTTTCTGGGGGCTGGGCCCTCAAGGCAGAGGAGCCCCAGGACCCGCATCTGTTCCGTGTATGCCACCTTTCACATGATTTGTCTTGTACACACAGCCAAATGTCTGCCCTGGCAACTGCTGGGCGTTCCAGGGCCCCAGGGCTTTGTTGGCGTTCCCTTATCTGCCTGCATCCACCTCACTGCCATCACTTTGGAGCATGTGCCCAAAGCCCTGTCCCCACTCAGCAACATCACCAGAGCCCCCAAGGACTTTGTCATCTTGGTGAGTAGCTGAGCCTGGAAGCTCTCCTTTCCCAAAGTGCAGAAAGCCCTTTCTTAACAGCAGTATGTCGAGGTGAGGAATGGAAGGATGTGCCCATTTTACAGATGGGACATTGAGTCTTGGGGCCAGCCCTTCTTCTCCTCCCCTTCTTCTTGGATAGGAGCCAGGAAAAGACAACCACAGCAACAAGAAGAGTCAAGATTACAAGGTGTCTTAGGGTCCTTTACTATAGCCAGTTGCCTCCATGGTCAGGTATCCAATGGGCAAGTTGGGCAGCGACGGTGATTCCCTACACAGACACCTAGTCAGGGCAGAGATGGAAGGTCCATGTAAGGAGGATTTAGGTGAAAAGATGGAGCCAGAAGAGAAGGTGAAATATGCAGGAGGAGAGGGATGCTTCAGGACCGAAATCCTGGTACAGATGAAGAAAGTGAGGCGCACACGCTGAAGGGGTTTGTCCCAAGTCATTCAGCAGCTTTGGGGAAGGGGCTGAGAAGAAGGCCAGGGCCTTGGAGAGGAAAGGCTCTGTCTGTTGAATTACTGAGAGAGATGCTAGCAGGTGAGGGGATCAAGGAAGGCAACATCAAGTTGGATTGTGTTTGCTCCTCTTTCCCCTCCCCAATATATCCTGCCTTGGCTGCCTCCTCCTCCCCCTGAAACCTCTCCCATTTTTCCCTCCATGGACTAATTTGGATTCTTGTGCTATCAGCATGACCTTTCCTGCACCCCACTCCCAGCCATCCATTTGTCCATCCATCCATTCCCTTTGTTTTTCCTTCTGTGAAGGGGCTCAATGAAGATTCCCAGGTGGAGGGAGTGGCCCTCGGGCAGTTCACCTATGATAATGCTGGGGAGGCCATTCAGACCTTCCACTTTCAGGTATGGAGGGCTGGTCCCACAGCAGTGACCCAGGCATGCTGGTGATCTCAAGGGCTGGATCACCAGCTGTGGGGTTGCTGTTGTTGGCAGGTGGCTGCAGTGGAAGCCAGGTCCCAATAGGTCTGATAGGAAGCTGAGGAATAAGCTTGGGACTGAATTCACCCACTGCTCTTTAAAGGAATCCTGGGGCAGAAGGGCTATGGGGGCGGGGTATCCACCAAGGAATCTTGGGCCTTCCTGACCCCACTCTCGTTACGGGGCAACGACACAGCCCCATACCAGCTGATAGAGATTCCTATCTTCAGCAACTGGGGTCACCCTGATTATACCTGCATTTACCACTTCCAGGCAAGCCTTCCAATTAGCACCTTCCTGCCCGGTACCTTCACTCCTACCTCTTTCAGCCACCAGCAAGCACCTGCTCCTCCCACCCCCAGGCTCAATCCCTTCTGGGCACTATGACTTCTGGGAGAGAGACAGAAGGTGGGAGCCCACCTCTGTGGAGCAACCTTGCCCCACCAAGCCCTCTCTGATATGGAGGAGACTGCCAGCTGAGCAGTTTCTGTTTCAGTCCCCATCATCTGCTGGGTCAGGTGGCCCAGCTTTCTGCAAGGCCTTGCCCACCTCCAAGTGGTGTAGCAATACTTATGTATTATGTGTTGGGGGTGTGGAAGGGACTAGTGATGTCCTTGCTATGCTCAGCAGCAGTCCCACAGAAAAACAGCTTACACCACCTTGGCTCTGGGCAAGGAATTTGGTGTAGAAAGGGCATGACAAATTGGGCAGCTGCAAAGAGCAGACTGGTAGCCAGTCCGACATGGGCATGCTCCAGCAGGTGGCTAATGCCGCCCTCCATGGGACCTTGCATAGTTCTTTTTATCACTGGCCTTGATGGGTTCAGTCTTTGAAATTGGAAGTACCTGGGAATGACCACAAATGTCTGGACTTTTTATTCTGACAAGGCCAACAGCCTAGATTTGGGGGAAATTCTGCCCCCAGGATCACCTGGAGTGGCATTCAGAAACTGTATGGCAGCTGGGGGTGTAGGCACGGCTTGATGGCCCCCTCTACCCACTGGGGCTTCATTTACAGAGGACTGGAAGGTTTCAGGTGTGTGGGAAAGGCAGTATTATTAGATAGAGAATTACTCATGCATTAGATAACGCTGAAAGGGAGAGATCTCAGATTGCAGGCATTGGGAGAGGGCCTTCCCTTATGCTGCTGGTACCAGGTTTCTCCTGGCTGCCCTTCAAGGGCCCAGAGACCCTACTTCACCCTTCTAGCCATGGCTTCATCCACCTCCTCACCTGGAACTCAGTCACTGTGCTTTGTCCTTTGGGACCACCAGCTCGTGTGGTTGTGACTATGATGGGCAAGGGACTGGCCAGGATCCTGTTGAGATTGGCCTTTCCCCGTCCCTATCACAGGCTGGTGTTGAGCTGATGCTGACCTCTATCCCTGGAGCAGATGTGACATGCCCCAGGTGCCTCTGCAGGGAAATTGGAGGCATTGGAGACTCCTTAGGCTCTTACTCTGAGCTTTGATTCTAGTTCTTTTGGGGCCAGGTTAGCACATGGGCAGGTATTAAGTTTATTGGGATAGGTTGAGGGGGCAGCTTTTTGGAGTTAAGACTGGGATGGGAGAGGGAGGGCAAAGTTTTTGGGCCTGCTGGCCAATTGTATTATCAGCATGAAGATGTTTGTATTTATACACAGAGCTAGTTCTTTTTCATCAGACAAAAAAGCTGTTCATTCCTGGGTGCCTCCTAAGGTCCCCAGGGTGATAGTCACTGCAGCCCCAGCTTGGAGGTGGGGGGGCTGGCCATGAAACACTGATGCCCAGTGGCATCACTGTCCTTTCTGCCTCTTACCATCAGAGGGAAGGCAGCCTCACACTACAGGGCTGGTCACTGGTTTAAGAAGCCAGCTGTGGGGGCCCACTCTTCTGCAGGTTTCAGGGGCCAGCAGCAGTAGATACAGGGCTGACCCCAGCTGCCCCTCAGACCCAGCCTGCTCCCTCTGCTTTTGTCAACTCCCCAGGAAGCTAGGATGTGAGCAGCCCCACATAGGATCCTACAGATGGCTTAGCTCTTCCTTATCACAGACTACTGTTTAATTCTCTAGGTTTGTTTTTTTTTGTTTTCTGTTTTTTGTTTTTTTTGGTATGGACACATTCTAATTTGTGTCTGTGCAAAAATAAATATTCTCTTGGATGTATCCTGGCTTCTTATCTAGCCCACGCAGGGAGGTTGCTCTTGAAGCCACCTGCTTGAGTAGCAGGGAAAAAGAGTCAAGATTGTGATGGAAACCCTCTGTTCAAAGGGCAGCTGCCCTTCTGCTGAATGAGGCCTAGAGGGGAGTGCACTGAGCAGTAGAGGGAGCCAAGCTCAGGCCTAGGCTTGGAGAAGCAGAGCTGGGAGAAGAGCCCAGAGGAAGCTCATGGAGGTGGGGCATTTGCCCTAGGTCACAGGCAGCCACTAGTAAAGCCAGAATGGTAAGATCCCCTGGTACATGAGCTTCTTGATTCCCAGAGAAGAGCAGGCTGGTAGTGTGTGGGACAGCAACCCTAACCCAAATTAAACTCAGGGACTTCTCAAGGTGGAAAGCAAAGGTTACCTTTATTACAATCTCGAGAGATGGCTGTCTGCTCAATTGGAGAGAGAGAGACCACGTAACAGGGACGTCTTATAAAAGGAAATCTCTGCCCACCACGCAAAGTCTCCACCCACTATGCAAACAAGTCTCCACCCACCACTCTCCCTTACCCCTTAACTGGGGTGGGCTTACATTCTAAGCTCCAAAGTTTCTTCCTATCCCCTTAACTGGGAGATGGGGCTTACATTCCAGGCCCAAAATTCAAAGACAAGGAAAGAGGCAGGAAGCCAAGGGCAAAAGGCTCAGGTTGGGGGTGGGGCAGGGCTTATTCTTTGTTACCTGCTTAAAAACAGGGTCTGAGCAGGGGAGGATTTTGAAAATAATAGTCAAAAAGTATTGGCCTTTTGAGGAGGCTTCACCTCTGAGAGTTCATCTCTCACAGTAGGGAATTGTGAGAAGAGAGGAAGTGTCTTCCATAAGGGAATTCCCCATCATGTGGCTGGAATCTCACTCTCACAACATCGCTTCAGGACAGCCTGTTTCTTAGGCTGTTCCTAGTAGTCTTCTTTCAGAGTAGCACTGTGGACAGCCATGGGGTGACCACATGGTCCCCAGAGATGTCTGTAGGACAGAGGGACTGAGGCAGAAGGAACACCATGGATAGCAAAACAAATGGAAAGAGGCCTCAGGGAGACTCTGCTTTTCCTGTCACCCCATCTCAAGGGGGCACAAATAGCACTTGGGTTCCCCAATGTCCCCCCAGAAGTCTACAAAGTTTCTGAGCCAAAATCTCTCTGAAGTTCCAACCCAAATGAAAAGATTTCTTCAGGCCCTTCAGACACTCCATCTAATGTCAACTTCAAATGAATTAGCATTAAATGTAGTGCTTTGGTCTAAGAGGTTGAGGTTAGGGAAAATGCCCTCTTTCTTTCCCTGCTAGCTTATGTAACTTGACCCCTTAACTGTTTCCAAATCCACCTGTCATCTGTGACTCACTTGAAGGCTTTGCTAATATCTGAGCACACTTTGCAGCATTTCTGTGATCTAAGGGAAGACTAGCTCATCAGAGGGCATGGTTTTACAAGGGATCTGCCATCTTGGTAGCATAGGTAGCAAATGCATCTTTTTGTCCCATGCACAGGTGGGAGGGTTGGAGTTAAAGGCCTTTAAATGCTAACCACAGGATTGTATGTTTGATTCCAGACCTAGTAGGAAGTCACTGCAGTTCACTGAGGAAGGATGATGTGTATGAACATGAGCATATCTGCATGGACCATGGACAGGCCTCCAGAAAGAGATTTGAAATTGTTGATCAAATTCCCACTGACATAGGGGCCACCAAGTCATACTTAGTTCTCCCTGGAGACCACATGTTAACTTAGGAAACCACGTGTTAGCATTGTCTATGTTGTAGTGCATTTTTATTTCTTTTGTCAGAAGTTCTCAGTTCTGTTTGCATAAGGGTCAGCCTTTCCAGGGGGTCTGTCAGTCTTTTACAGTGTGGGACGCCCCTGAACTAGGGGTATCCCTAGGGTGAGATGAGGCTGAGAAGGAGAGGGAGGCACACCCTGAGGACTTGGACTTGAAGAGGCTAGGCACTTGTTCTGGGGCTTGAAGGACAGTGAATATCTGCCACTGAGGTTGGGAACCTGGAGGCCTGGAAGCAAGATGGTGCCCTAGACAGTAAGACAGGTCTGTAGTCAGTCAAAGGATTGGAGGCCAAGTGGCAGAACCAGATGAAAATGTTCAACAAAAGAAATCAAAATCCAGGACAATAGAGATAATGTAAACTCCTGGTTTTCTAAGCCTTGTGGGGAGGGCAGAGTTCCCTTCCTCTTTGCCTTGAGCCCCTCCCCCACTTGAATGCAAGCTCCTTGAGGGCAGGGCCCAATTTTGCCCTGGGGGATGGGCAGGAGAAGCTAGTATTGCTTCTATGGAGGAAGGAAGGAAGACTACAGTGGGGCAGGGGTGAATTAGAGAGGGATTTATGAGACTAGGGGGATGGGCTTGCTCCTCAGCAGAGTTGCATTCTCAGGACTAAGGAAGTAGTCGCTCTGCCTACCAGGAGGATGATCTGGGGAATGGAGGTATCAGAGCCCTAACCTCCATTGGAACCACTTTAAAACATGTTACCTGCCTCCCTGTCTTTCTCACAGCCTGTGAACATGATTATCAGCTTTTCTTTATGGGCTCTGGGTCATTCTTGGCCCCTGGGTAGGGGACTCCCGTGATACCCCGGGCTGCAGAGGGAGGCACCTTGGTGGGCGATTTGTCCTTCCAGTATTTGCTTTTTACCATAAGCTCTGTCCCTTCTCTAGCCATCTTGTCAACCATCACGCTTTGATCCTATCTACCCAGGTTCTACCAGGCTGGTCTCTGCAGTTCTGGGACAGGTGGTACAGTGAC